TAATAAAGTAACTGAACTGTTCCTGAATTGTCCCACTGAGTTTCTTGGGCTGAACCTGACAATTGTAAAGTATTTTGGAAGAAAAAAAATCTAACGGATTTTTTGCCTTCTGTATATTTTTTAGCAGCATCTATGTCTCATTCAGGTTTCCATTGTGAAGGGAATAATATATCCCAAATGTGCTGCCTTATAATATAATTTTTAAAATGAAATACTTCAATTGCCCTATATCTGAGTCTATATATGATATTTCTATTCTTAATTTTTTTAGTATTGAACAAAAAGTTTAATGTTTCTTTGCCAAAATGTTAATATTTTATCTAGCAGTTCTACTGAGAGAGTTTGAATTTTTTTTTAAAAAAAAAAATTAAAGTGCTCTCATTTTAACTGCCTCAGTTCAACCCCAAATATGTAAATATTTCTTATTCCAGATTTTCATTTCCCTTTTTAATCTTCCACATTGAGATAAACTTATTATTAAATAGTTTGTTAATGTTTTTGGTGATATTAATTCCTAGATTTATACTGGTGGGTTTGCTTTCCACTGGTATATTTAAAGTATTAGCTATCCTGGTATATTTAAAGTATTAGCTATCCTTGTATTTTAGGAAAGTTACGGAAGAACTCAGTCGTAACTTTTGAAAATTTACTACTAACCTTGATATTTCTGCAAAATCTTCCAATTCCTAATGTATTTAGCTGTATTACTAGAATTCGCAAATTTAATATTGTCTGCAAGTAAATTTAATAGGTAATTTTACCTTCTATTTTTATCCCTTTAATTTCCTTATTGCTATCAAGAACTACTGCTATGTTTCTATAAGATTAAATAATAAATGGGATAATGGACAGCCATGCTTTGTAGTTCTTGAAACTAGGTCTGATTCATAATTATTAATTATTTACTGGACATTGGGTATATTATAAATCTGACTTATCATGTTGAAAAAGTAATTGCCAAAATTAAAACTTGTTAAAGTTTGTTTTAGAAATAGTTCCTTCCACAGATCAAAAGTTTTAAAGATATCTAATGAGCATACTGATAGAGAAAATGTTAATTTACAAGAGTGAATAATAATTGGCAATTTTCTGATGGGGCTAGATATATTTCTTTTTGGAATGAAGTCTGATTGATTAGGGTGCATAATTTCCCCCCATAATTAAATTGAGATGTTTAGCTAGTAGTTTAGTATATTATTTATAATCAGTATTAAGAAGGGAGATAAGTCTGTAAGAAAATACTTCTAATGGATCTGCGTGGTTTAGGAATTAAAGGTATTTTAGAATTGCAGCATAATAAAGGAAAAAAATCTCCTTAATGACAAACATTCTCATTTAAGAATATTTTAAATGCCTTATAGAACTCATCTGTTAGCTCATCAGGACCTGAGAATTTTCCACTTTTAATATTTTTTAAAAAACCATATCAACTTCTGATTGTAAAAATGAGTCCAAGTACTGAGCATTTATTAAAGATAATTCTGTGAAATTCAGTTTATTTAAATACTTATTTTTTCTGTTGCAAGACTTTTAGAAGTGTACAGTTTTTTTAAAAAAGATCTGTGAACTTTTTACTAATATTTTTAGTATTTCTGATGATGTGACCATTAGTATCATTTATCGCCTTTATATATCACTTTTCTTTACCTTTTTGAAGCTGATTTGCCATTCATCTTGAGTTTTTATTATCAAATACATAGTATTTTTGTTTTAAAAATAAAAATCGGGCTAATAATTTTGCCAATTTCTAAATATCAGGCTTTTCTCCTCCCTCCCTCCCTTCCTCCCTCCTTTCCTCTATATATATACATTGAGCCTGTTCTGTTATATTTTATCCATACATCCTTAATTTCTGAAGATAATACATTCATTATTTATGTAGATTTCTATTTGATTCTGCTCATTTTACTTTTACTTTCACCTCTTATATACTGGATTTATCTCTATTTGGGTTAATTTACTGGAAAAAAAATTTAAAGCCCAAATATATATCTTCAAATGAGACTGGCATCTACTTGAATAATATATAAAGTCTTTTGTTAATGGATGCATTATACCCCAAATATCAGTAAGTTCATG